GGGTCAGGGTCAGGATTAGGGTCAGGATTAGGGGTCAGGATTTGGGTCAGGATTAGGGTCAGGGTCAGGATTGGGGTCAGGATTTGGGTCAGGGTCAGGATTAGGGTCAGGATTAGGGTCAGATGTCACCCTGAGCTGACAGCTGAGCTCTGCCCCTCAGCAGAACTCCCTGGGGCCCTGAGCTGGGCTGTTCCTCCTCGGGGCAGCTCTCAGAGCACCAGGAGGACACCCAGACTTTCTGCCACCACTTCCTCAAATGCCCCGAGCGGCGCTCGGAGCCGGGCCCGGGCTGGGCCCAGAGTCCCGGAGAGCCAGGACGGGACAGACCCGGGGATCCAGGACCCGAGAACATCCCTGGGGAGGCCAGAGCTGGGCAGGAACACGGGGCAGGAAAGGATTTCTCTGGGGTTTTACCAGCTGCTCTCAGAGGCAGGAAGCTCGCTGCCAAAACAACCGAGCTGCTGAGGGATCCTCACGGGGCTTGGCTCCGGCCCAGCTCCTGAGCAAGCCCACCTTGAGGGGAAAAAAACCCCAAAAATTCCTGATCCAAAATGTCCCTGAAGCTGCCACGGAACTGGGATTTCAACCTGAAGATGGATGCTGCAAAAATAGGTGCCGTGAGTGTTCTTTGTGTGTCTGCCCGGGGCGCCTCAGGGGCTGGGGGTGGCCGGGCCCAGCCGAGATCTCGGCTCTGGCCTCAGTGCGGGGATCTGGCCCCAAAGTGCCGCTTTGAGACTGAGCAGCTGATTTGTAAATGGTTTACAAGGAGTGATTTGCGAAGTTACGAGCGAGGGATGCTGTGGGAGCAGGGGGACAGGGCTGCTGACCCCCCAAAACCAGGTTTGGGAGGATTTAAACCCCTCAGGCCCGTTCTGGTGGCACAAACCTGCAGCAGGTGAGGGATGAGGGAGGTGGCTGAGGCCAGAGGATTCGGTCTGACCCTGGCTCGGGTGTCCCGGCCCCTCCGACATCCCTGGTTTCCTCTCAGGGGTGCTGAGAGGAATTCCCAGAACTGCAGGACAGCCTCACCTGGGATTTCCTGACCCCTTCCAGGCTTTGCAGGGCTCTCATCCAGCCCAGGATCCTCCTGCAGCGAGGGGAGCGCCGGGGAACAGCTCTGGGAAGGAGGGAGGGATCCCTGAGAGGGCTCCCAGGGCAGAACGGCAGAGCCTGGGGTCAGCTCAGGCAGCCAGGGAGGGGATTTGGGGTGATGGAATGGTCAGGGAGGGCTGCAGAGCCCAGCCTGTGATTGCTCTGGGATTTGGGGTGATGGAATGGTCAGGGAGGGCTGCAGAGCCCAGCCTGTGCCTGCTCTGGGATTTGGGGTGATGATGAGTGCTCAGGGAGGGCTGCTGACCCCCCAAAACCAGGTTTGGGAGGATTTAAACCCCTCAGGCCCGTTCTGGTGGCACAAACCTGCAGCAGGTGAGGGATGAGGGAGGTGGCTGAGGCCAGAGGATTCGGTCTGACCCTGGCTCGGGTGTCCCGGCCCCTCCGACATCCCTGGTTTCCTCTCAGGGGTGCTGAGATGCCCCAGAGCCATGGGACATGGGATTTATGGGGATTTATGGGGATTTATGGGGATTTATGGGGTCCTGAGCGCTTTGCTGAGAACCAACAACTTTTACAAGAGCTCCAAAGCCTCGGGGTCACTCTGCTGTCGCTGCTGCTCCGGGGAGGGCGCAAAACCCACACGCTCCGATTAAAAAAGAAACAACAAAACCAACCCCCAAAAACAGCGCTGATGATTTTGTTCTCACTTGCAAGACAATTCCTCCCACGCAGGAAAAAGGAAGCAAACGCTGGCAGCGACTGCAGCCACTTCCTTCGTAAACTGGGGCCAGTTCTCTCGGCAGAGCGCGGGGCCCTGAGCCTCTCCTGTCCTGTGTCCCCTGTCCCTGTGTGTCCATCTGTCCCCACACTGTGTCCCTCTGTCCTGTCCCTGTGTGTCCATCTGTCCCCACACTGTGTCCCCTGTCCCTGTGTGTCCATCTGTCCCCACACTGTGTCCCCTGTCCCTGTGTGTCCATCTGTCCTGTCCCTCTGTCCTGTCCCTGTGTGTCCATCTGTCCTGTCCCTCTGTCCTGTCCCTGTGTGTCCATCTGTCCTCACACTGTGTCCTTCTGTCCCTGTGTGTCCATCTGTCCTCACACTGTGTCCTTCTGTCCCTGTGTGTCCATCTGTCCCCACACTGTGTCCCTCTGTCCTTTCCCTGTGTGTCCATCTGCCCCACACGGTGTCCCCCTGTCCCACACGGTGTCCCCCTGCCCCACCCCATGGTGTCCCCCTGTCCCACACCGTGTCCCCCTGTCCCACACCGTGTCCCCCTGTCCCACACCGTGTCCCCCTGTCCCACACCGTGTCCCCCTGTCCCACACCGTGGTGTCCCCCTGCCCCACACGGTGTCCCCCTGTCCCACACCGTGGTGTCCCCCTCCCCCACACCGTGTCCCCGTGTCCCACACGGTGTCTGTCTGTCCCCAGCCCGCTCCTGGAGCGCGATGAGCGGGGACCCCTGGTGTTCCGGGCCGGGGTCCCCCCGCGGGCCGGAGCGGCCGCTCAAGCTGGGCTGGCTGAGGAAGCAGCGCTCCTTCGTCAGGAACTGGCAGCTCCGCTTCTTCGTGCTCCAGGGACAGCAGCTCCTCTACTACAAGGACGAGGACGATGCCAAGCCCCAGGTGGGGAGAGAGAGCCCCAAAACCCCCCCTGGGCTGGGGGTTTGGGGCTGGGGGAATTGGGGTCTCCACCCTGCAGAGGAGGAGCTCTGAGATGAGCTGTGGCCTCCCAGGGCCCGAAGGGAGCTGAAAGGAAAATGGGGAGAGACTTTCCACCAGGGCAAGGGGGAATGAATGAACTGCCAGGGGACAGGGATGGGATATTGGGAAGAATTCCTGGCTGGGATGGAACTCCCAGAGCAGCTGTGGCTGTCCCTGGATCTCTGGAAGTGCCCAAGGCCAGGCTGGAGATGGCACTGGATGGAATTTAAGGTTCCTTCCAACCCAAACCAATCCAGAATTCCATGTGCTGGTTTAATGGGAATTTTGGGAAGGAATTCTTCCCTGGGAGGGTGGGGAGGGGCTGGGATGGAATTCCCAGAGCAGCTGTGGCTGCACCTGGATCCCTGGAAGTGCCCAAGGCCAGGCTGGACAGGACTTGGAGCAGCCTGGGACAGTGGGAGGTGTCCCTGCCATGGTGGAGGGTGGAACAAGATGATCTTTTCCCACCCAAACCATTCTGGAATTCTGTAATTCCATGAAATGTTTTGGAATTGGTCTTGGGCATTGAAGGAGTTTTCTGCCTCTGGGCAGCAGCAGAGGTGAAAGGTCCTGATGAGGAATTCATTGATGATTTGAGTTCCTCCGGTGCCTGCTGGGGCTGGGTCCCTCTGAGCCCAAGGACTGGGGAGCTGGGAAAACCAGCTTTTAAACTTTTGGGTTTAAGTGATGCTGTGTTAAAGGAACAGGATGTTCTGGGGTTTTCCCAAGTCCCTTCTCCTTTTTTCTCTCTCCTTCCACTCCCAACGAGGGCTAAAAGGATATGAGAAGTGAGAAAAAACCAGGAAAGCTCAAAAGAACCGGTTTTCTCCTTCTGAGAATCACTTCACTGGAAAAAATGGCACTTTAGAAGTGGCTCCTGTTGCTTGAGGAGTCATTTCTGACTCTGTGTGTACCCAGTGGTGTCCTGAAGGTGTTTGAGGGCAGCGAGGGGCACTCAGGGACGCTCTGCTCTTGTCCTAGGGCTGCCTGTCTCTCCAGGGCAGCACCGTCAAGGTGCCAGCCACCAACCCAGAGGAAGGAGGGAAATTCATCTTTGAAATCATCCCAGGTGAGGCTGTCTCGCTCCTCCTCCTCCTCCTCCTCCTCACATCCTTTTGGGCTGGACTGGCCACCCCAAATCCCTCCCTTTTCCTTTTGCTCCCGCTTCTTTCCAAGGCTCCCAGAGCGCCGTTCCATGGGGAAATGAATTTCTTAATTGTTAAATTAATTTAATTTATTAATTTATTTAATTAAATATTAAATTAATATCCCCAGCCCAGGGCTGGGGCAGGGCCCACCGTGCCCCAGGGGTGAGGAGAAGCTCCTCCAAGCTGCAGCTGCAGCACTTTCCCTTCCTTCCTTGCAGATCTCAAAGTGGGAAATGTCAAAGCTCCTCTCCCCCTGCAGCCAGCAGGGCTTTAGCAGGGAAATTCAGAGCCAGAGAGGTTTCACAAAGAGAACACCAGGAATAAACGTGTCTTTTCTCCTCCTTGAATGTGCTGTTTCTGCAGGGGGGTGTGGAGAGCAGAACCGAGCAGGGCAGGACTCCTGTGTGCTCATGGCCAGCTCCCAGGCCGAGATGGAGGAGTGGGTGAAATCCATCCGGAGGGCGCTGGGCTCCGCCTCAGGAGGTAAAAAAGGGATCAGGACCAGCTCCTACAGGGGTGACTGTCACTGTCCTGGGGCCTGCAGCACTTGTGGCTGAGGGTTTGGCTCAGAAATCCCTGGAGAACGGGGCTGAAACGTGTCCCTGGTGACTCCCCTGGGAGCTGGGGCTGCTCCAAACTTGGTTTCTGGGTGGTGAGGAGAACTTTCTGTGCTGCCTTTTCAATCTTGGTTTCTGGGTGGTGAGGAGAACTTTCTGTGCTGCCTTTTCAATCTTGGTTTCTGGGTGGTGAGGAGAACTTTCTGTGCTGCTCCAAACTTGGTTTCTGGGTGGTGAGGAGAACTTTCTGTGCTGCCTTTTCAATCTTGGTTTCTGGGTGGTGAGGAGAACTTTCTGTGCTGCCTTTTCAATCTTGGTTTCTGGGTGGTGAGGAGAACTTTCTGGGCTGCCTTTGCACACTTGGTTTCTGCAGAGGGCTTTGCAGGGTTCTGGGGCCTGGCAGAGCAGCAGCTCCTGCTGTCCCCAGCACCTGGGGCAGGTGAGGTGTCTTTGATGCCCTGAGAGGCTCCCTGGAACAGAGGCCAGACAGAGTTAAAGGAATAAAGCAGGGATTTATTCAAATGTAAATGTTGTAAATGTGCAAGATCCTGGCACAAGTGGCTCCACCCCAGATGGACACGTGGTGAGGAGTTTTCACACTTTCACAAGTTTTCATTTCCATATTGGGGCTATTTGTCCAATTCCAGCTTCAGGTGATGAAATCCCATCCTCCCAGTTTGCTCTCCTCAATTTGCTGTTGTTTACACTTTTTGGGCCTGAAGCTGCAGCGGTGTTCTTGGTTCTGGGCTGGAAAAGGATTGTTGTGTGTGACTCCAAGTGAGGAGAACTCTCTGACACGTTCTGTGAAGTTCAGAGTTGTGTGCTAAGCTGGGAAATGTGACAGCTAAAGCTGAAAGCATCACCCCGGGCCGAGCTGTGACCCCGTGCCCTGTCCCCAGCCGTGTTCGGGCAGAGCCTGGCAGACACCATGGCCTACGAGCAGAAATTCGGGCAGCACCTGGTGCCCATCCTGGTGCAGACAAGCGCCGAGTTCATCCGGGAGCACGGCGTGGCTGAGGAGGGGATCTTCCGCCTGCCCGGCCAGGACAGCCTGGTCAGGCAGCTCCGCGACGCCTTCGACGCTGGGGAGAGACCCTCCTTCGACAGGTACCGCTGCTTCCTCCTCCCCCAGCCCCAAATTCCAGGGAAAAGCAGCCAGTCCCACCCCCCAGAGCCCTGCAGGAACCCTCCAGAAGGGCTTGGGGAGGAGAGGGGATTGATGGAGAGGGGATTGATGGAGAGGGGATTGATGGAGAGGGGATTGATGGAGAGGGGATTGATGGAGAGGGGATTGATGGAGAGGGGATTGATGGAGAGGGGATTGATGGAGAGGGGATTGATTGAGAGGGGATTGATGGAGAGGGGATTGATTGAGAGGGGATTCAGCAGAAACCACAAAAACAGAGCCAGAGGGTGCTGAGATTCCTGGAGAAGCACACGACCACGGCAGGATTGGAGGGGGAGCATTAGGAAGCTGCTAACACCCAGAGTGCCCAGTGCAGGGTGTTTTGTAGCTCCTACAAAAACACAGCTCTGAAAAAACCCCTCTGTGTTTATGTGAGTTTGTAAAAATAACAGTGTTTTACAACTCCAACCCATCCTAAAAATAACTGAGCTGGGGCGTTTCTGCTTGAAGTTTATAAGAGTTTAGCGACTTGAAGGTAGGTCAGATGAGAGGCCCCTGGTCTTGGCAGTGTCCCCTTGACAGGATGTAAATACAAGGGCTGCAAAGCTGCAAACATCTGTCCCAGCACAGCATCCCCAGGGACTGCTGCTGCTGCTGCTGCTGCTGCTCTGGAGTCCTGGGGAGGCTCTGAGGGTCTGCAGGCGGCCCCTCGGAGCCCAGCACGGGCTCTGCGTGGGCTGGGAGAGGGGAGAAGGGAAAAGGGTTTTGTTTGGGGTGGGAGAAGGGTTTGTTTGGGATGGGAGATGGGTTTTGATTGGGATGGGAGAAGGGAGAAGGGTTTGTTTGGGATGGGAGAAGGGTTTTGTTTGGGATGGGAGAAGGAAGAAGGGTTTTGATTGGGATGGGAGAAGGAAGAAGGGTTTTGATTGGGATGGGAGAAGGAAGAAGGGTTTTCTTTGGGATGGGAGATGGGAGAAGGGTTTTCTTTGGGATGGGAGATGGGAGAAGGGTTTTTCCTCCCTTTTCCTTGCTTCTCCACCCCTTTGAATGCAGTGACAAGAGGTGCTGCTCCAGAATTGCAGCTCCCACTCGTTAACGAGGGTGGCTCCGTGGGTGTCTGGTGGGTGAAGAAAAGTGATTTTGGGTTCCCAGAGCAGAGCAGGGAGAGTGAGACAATCCCTGTGTTGTACCAGGGGCAGCTGCTGTTGGCTTTGGCTCTGGCTGTGCCCAGAGCTGTGCCCAGAGCTGTGCAGGGTGATCAGGATGTCCAAGGGAAGGGTAAAGCTGACACTCTGTGACTTTGTGCTGGCTCAAAACTCGGCTCTGGAAGGAGGCAGGAGCCCTCTAAGTGAATTTCCTGCTATCCCAGCTCAGCCCAGGTGTGGACACCGGCACCTGCCACCCTCAAGGTGGAGAAAATCCCCACCAAGCCTTCATTTCCCTGCCTGTGGCTCCCCCAGGTCTGCCCATTCCCATCTCTGTCTCCACAGCTGCACACAGAGCTCCAGCAGAGCCTCGTGGGGACCTGCTGGGGTTGATTTTCTCTTTGCCCCTCGCAGGGACACCGATGTCCACACCGTGGCCTCCCTGTTCAAGCTGTACCTGCGGGAGCTCCCGGAGCCCGTCGTGCCCTGGCTGCAGTACGAGGATTTCCTGCTCTGTGGGAAGGTTCTGGAAGCTGATGAGACGAAGGTAGAGGTGCTTTTTGTTTCCTCCTGGCCTTAAAATCAGTTTCAGTGCCAGTTCGGTTGTGAGCTGGAGGTGCCTGTGGAGCTTCGGAATCTGGGGAGGGAAAAAAGAAGGAAAAAAAATGAAAAAGAAAAACTCCCCCAAAGCCAGTGGAGTTTCCCAGCTTGGCCACATAGGTTTGTGAATTTTAAAGCTTAAATTTCTGCTTTTCTTTGGGGTTAAAGATGTCCTAAATGTTTCTACACAAGAGACTGGAGGAGACGAGGCAGGATCAGCTCTTTGAGAGCTCCCCCCGCACACGCTGGGCTGGAGGGGACCCTGCTCCTCCTGTGGCTGCCCCTCCTTGCAGAAACCCCTCAGTGTCCCATGGAGAAAGAACTCCAAGGGGAAAAATGCCAGGAGAATCGGAGTCATGGAATAACTGAGTTTGGAAAAGGTCCCCAGGATCATCCACCACGGTGGCCGCTGTCCCCGAGTGCCACCACTCGTGTTTGGAGCCCTGCAGGGCTGGGGACTCCCCCAGTGCCCTGGGACCCCACACAGGAGCTGTGCTTTGGTGCCTGTGAGTGCTCCTGGAGCTGTTTCTCACCTTGCAGGGCCAGCAGGAGCTGCTGAAGCAGCTGTCCCTCCTCCCCAGAGACAACTACAACCTCCTCAGCTACATCTGCAGGTCAGTGCTCTGCACAGCCCAGCTCTGCTGCTGGGGAGCAGAAACACCACCCCAAAGGATGATTCCTCCAGGCAGAGCCTTCCCAAGCTCTGCTTTGGCTCCCTTTGAGTCACCAGAACCCCCTTTTTGCAGAGGAGAATTTCAGCCCCTTGGGTAAAGCCCCTGATAATGTCTGAGCATGAATCACCACCCTCAAACTCACTTAAAAATCCCTGAGAATTGAAACCAGATGTAGTTTTCCTGGACAAAAGCACCAAAACTTCTGGGTTTCACCCAGCCTGGGTGGTTTTTTCTCTGGCTGGGGATTTGAGGATGGGATTCCCTTTCTCTCTGATTTGTTTCGAGGGGAGCAGCTCCTCACTTGGTGGTTTTTGTTCTGGTAAGAGCCAAATGTTCTAGTTCTAAGGCCAAATGTTTCTGTCCTTGTGACTGCGAGGAAGAGCTGGCAGGATCAATCAGGATTTTTTCACCAGTGAGGCTTTTTTTGCCATCTTCCACCTCTGATGTGAAATATTTCCTCTGGAATTCTGTCAGGTTTCTCTTCGAAATACAACTGAACTCCAGCGTCAACAAGATGAGTGTGGACAACCTGGCAACAGTGATTGGAGTGAACCTCATCAGACCCAGGGTAGAGGACCCTGCAGTTATCATGAGAGGTAAAAGGGACTCCTGGAATAATTGGCATGCTGAAACCCTGGAAATTAAAGATTTTCTGTGGTGGAGCTGAAAGAAAGCCAGGAATGTGCCGTGAGTGCAGCAGGGCAGGGTCAGGCCGTGTGTTTGTTGGGCTGTAAAGGTGTTCACGGTGACAAAACCCCTCAGGAGTTACACTGTGTGTTCCCCTCATGGAGTTCAGCAGATTTGGTGAGGTCATCTCTGTGCTGCAAAGAGCAGGAAGGTACAAAACCCTCCTTGGGGGAACTCAAATGTGGGTACTCATTTCCTTTCACTCACTGCATCTACTTTATTTGGCTTTATGATCCTGCTCCTTGTTTCCTCTTCCATTTTAGACACCAGAAAGAGCAAAGAGAAAACCCAAGGGGTGGCAGGGATCCCGTGGCTTTGCCCCTGAGCCTCTCTGATTCCTGCAGGCACACCCCAGGTCCAGAAGGTGATGACTGTGATGATCAGTGACCACCAAAAGCTCTTTCCCCCATCCAAGGACGTGCCTCCTTCCCCACCTGCCCAAAAAAACGAGAAGAAAGCTCCTGTCCCTCGCAGCTCTGTGGGCTGGGGGGCTGCAGAGGACCCCACAGCTCCCAGAGCCTCCACCCAGAGGCAAATGGTAAGGATGGATCCCCAGGGGGAGTAATCAACGTTCATTTAACGTGTGGTTAATTGTGGCAGGCTCTGACAGGTCAGCCAGCCCTAAAAGCACTTGCTACTTATGGGTTAAAAAAGCTGTATCTGTCACCCCTGGGATATTTATATCAGGAAAATGATGTAGATAAACTTTCCACTTTCCTGTGGAAAATCTGCTGTTCTGGAGAACGTGAAAACTCCCGAAGCTTTTTGGCTACACTGTCGAACACACGAAACTTTTTCAGCTCAGGCTGGTGGAGGGAAAACAACGAGGATTAAAGGTTTTTCCCTGAAGGAATCTCTGCAAAAATGGTAAATGTGGTGCAATTCAGAATGGGGGTTTTTTTTTTTTATGGAAAAGTGTGGCCATTCCTCCAGCACGTTCAAATATGTCACTTTGTCACGGCAGTGGCCTCTCCGCTCCAGGGCTCTCCCAAAGCCGTGCTCTGTTTTCCAGAGGGATCACCCCAACTCCAGCAGCGTCCCTGGGCACGACACAGAGCCCAAAGACACGCTGGGAGCGTGGGAAACACAGCCAAGGAAAAGAACCCAGACTTTACCTACGAGGAAATCCTTCCTGGCAGCGGCTGCTCCGGCGGAGAAGGGCAGCAAGGAGAGGAGCGATGCCCTCACCAGTGATTTTTGGAGAGGCAGCACACTCCCCACGGCCTCTGATGGACACAAGAGAACGTTGTCTCATGATCTCTTCAAGCTGCTGGACCTGCACAGGGCCTGTGAGAGCGTTCCCCCCTGGCAGGCAGAGAGCGGGGAGGGCTCCAGCCCTGCCAGCAGCATCTCCGAGAAGGAATTCCTGCCCTGCTTCAGCCACGAGCCAAAGGAAGCTGCCAGTGCCACCAGCAGCCCTGCTGAGGAGCCCAGCCCCGAGCAGGAGAGCAGGGAGTGCCTGCAAAGCCTGATCCTCAAGCTGGAGGGAGATCTGGAGGCGCAGAGAAATGACTACGAGGGGCAAATGAAAAGGTAACTGCAGGGAGCTGGGAAATGTGCAGCTCGTGCTGTGACAGCAAACACAGCACAGGTTGTTTAGCAGCAGTGGTGAATGATAAAACACAGCATTTAGCAGGCTGAAAATCAGTGTGCTGTGCTCTCACCACAGTGGGTGATGTGTGATTGCAGCATCAGTACTCCCCAGCTCTTCCCACGTCATTCAGTGGCACTGAAATGTTCCTGCATCCCTTTGCACTTCCATAATTCCTGTGATTGCCACCACCCTCAGGCTCTCCAGAGTTCACCAGCAGCATCATTACACCCTTGGTTGTAACCATACTGTTATTAAATTATAACTTCTATCAATATAATCCCCCTACCAATACACACATATCACATTTATTGATTTATTGCATCTGAAGGGCTCAGGACAGCACCTCTGGATTGTTTTGCTGTTTAATGACGCTGAGCTCAGACTCCCTGAGAGCCAAACGATTTCCCAGCCCTTCTCCAGCCCAATCCTTTCAGGCTCTGTTTCCCTTCACAGCCTCCAGAAGGAAAACTACGAGGTCTGGGCCAAAGTGGTGAGGCTGAAGCAGGACTTGGAGCAGGAGAAGAAGAAATCTGGGGAGCTGGAGCTGAGGCTGATGAGGGCAGAGCACGCCCGGGAGGAGCTGGAGAAGAAAACCAAGGTGCTGGAGGAGGAGATAAAAAACTTAACTCAAGCCACGAGTCAGACTGGTGCCAAAACCAACTAGGAGGGGACACTCAGCTTTTCACAGACACCAAATGCAGCTGCACAAATGCACAGGAATTGCAGCTCCAGAGCCAGGGACTTGCATTGTGCAGGGTCCTGCTGCTGCCCACAGGCCGAGGGGGAGGAAGGAGAGCAGAGCTCAGAGCTTGGTTCACGCTCTGGACCTGGAAATTTCAAAAATATCCTTTAGCATTTTTTTTTGGGGTGTGTTTATTTCAAGTCTTCTTTCAGCTGCTCAGGTTGGCTGGAGAACAGGCCAGCACTTCCTGCTGCTCAGGCAGAATTGCACTCACAAGTTTGGGGTACGGACGTTGTGCCTTGACAGAAAGAAACCAGAAGTGTCTCTCCTCCAGCTGCCTGGAAAAACCTCCGTGGATGCTGGATCTGGGCAGGCAGAGGAGCTGGGGCAGCCCAGCCCTGGGTGCTGGAGGTGCTCACATCAATCCCCAGGGCTCTGAGATCTGTCTGCAGCATCTGCTGTGCTGTGCCAGCCACCCACAGAAAACCCCACTGTCACCAAACCTCGTCAGCTCAGGGGTTTTCAGCTCTGTTTTCACAGTTTTCACTGTTCCCCACAGCCAGGTGCTCCTAAACCCAGCACAGCTGACAGAGCCTGGGGAGCATTTCCCCACACCTCAACCTGCAGCGAGACTGCAGCACAGGAATTCTGATTTTTCCCTGATGGGCAGCCTTCAAAGGATGACAAACCTGCACTTATTTACTGCTGTTTTGTCCTTTCTGAAGAGCAGAACAGGATTTCCTCAGCCAGCTTGTGGAACCCTGGATTTGCAGCCCAGTGAGGACGTTTGGCCTCTCCCCATCAACGACCCAAAGGTGTCCCCGTGGTTTTTTGTCACCTTTCTGCTCGTCCCTCACCCCTGCCTGGCTCCTTCCAGCCCTGCCACAGCTTTTGGTGGAGGAAAGAAGAGTAACAGGACTCCAAACAGTTCTTTCCTCCGACAGAAAACCTTTCATTCATTTATTTATTTGGGGAGGGGGAACAGCCCAGCCTAGAGCCTGGCTGGGGACAGGAAAGGGAGATCCAGAGAGATCTGCAGTTTTCAAGCAGGACCCTGAGGGGATCACCCCTCTGGGTTCTGGCTGCTGAGGATTTGGCTTTGGTGAGGCAGAATTCATCTCCAGCCAGGCTGCAGAGCTGTGTGAGAGGAAAAACAAACTGGGAGGAGAAAGGGACGCAGAGGGAAATGGGGGGAACAAGAGGAGATGGGAGTGGGAAAACGTTATTGGAGAGTAACAGTCAGCATTGGGTATAAACACCTGCTGCTCTCAGCCTTGCTGGGGACTGGTTCAGCCCTAAAACTGAGCCCAGACTCAGGCTCAGGTTCAGTTTGGTGCATTGAACCCAGCTTCACTCAGCTGTGGATATAAAGCCTGGGGAAGAAGCCGAGCTGAATTCAAAAATCCAACCCCCAAGTGGCTTGTGTGACCTCCAGCCCCTGACTCCAGGGGTTTTCCTGTGCACAGAATCCCCAGAGCCCACACAGCTCCTCCTTTCTGTGTTTATTTAATGTTTTACCTCTGCAAGGAGCTCCTCACCAATCCAGGAGCCATCAGGGAGAAACTTCTGGGTGGGGTCCAGGAGCAGCATCGCGAACATCTGGGCTGGAAATGCCACACGCTCCTTTCTGCAAAGATCAAAAGTGTGAAGAGGCCAATAATTCCTTCAGAGCAGATTGTGCTGACGTGCAAAGACCTGGCTGAGGCTCAGAAAGCTCCAGCATTAGGACAAGTGCACGTTATTTAAAATAAACTGCGCATTCCTCCGCTTCCGCTCAGATAGGCTGTGAGGATCAGAGGGGCTCCTCTGGAGATCTTCCACACATCAACATTTGCAGGCTTTGCAGAGGTCATCTGGGAAAAAGAGACTTCCCAGTGGAGCTGAGGTGGGCTGGAAGCCCTTGTGAGATGGAAGGGAACGAGGATTGATTATTTTTTTAATTGAGCTTTTTCCAGAGACGGAGAATTGCGAAGTGCCCGTGTGAAACTGCACATTTTCCATCCCTGTCCTCTCTGCTCTGCCCGGAGCCTGCTCTGGGTTTTCTGCACCTGAACATCACAAACACTGACTGCTGCCCAGCCTGCATCTCCTCCATTTCCCCAGGCCATGAAGCTTTTTCGGGGTGGGAGCAGCAGAGAATTTCTCCTGTTCCTGGGGCACAACAAACTCACGGTGGGGGTTTATAATCTCTGTCTACCACCGAGATCAAAGATCCTTTCCAGCCCTGTCCTGTAGGCTTGGAAACCTTCAAAAAGACATTTTTCACCCCTGAACCCTCCTCACTGCCCCGTGAGAGCTTTACCAAGGTGCTAACCCTGAGATCAGATTTTCCTCTCCTTTTAAATGTGACGTGGCTTTCCAAATTAGAGCTGTCAAACCACAGATCCCAACGCATCCTGAACTCCTCAATCATGCAGTCTGGGATGAAATCACCACCTTTCAGGCCATGCTTTCAGTCCCCTCACTGGATTCTTTGTGCTAGAGCAGAAACTCTGTTTTTCTCTGCTCAGCTATTTACTAAATAAATTCATTTAAGAATTCACTCTGTTTTATCCAAGGCTTTGGTAAGGCAAGAAAATAAAACTATCCTTCCCACATTATTGTGTTTGGATCCCAAGCCAGTCACTCTTATTGTGACTTTCCCCTCATATTTATCAAAGTTGTGTTTTTTGGCACGATAGGAACTTTCCTTTTTTAGCCTGGCCAGCGCTGAGAGGAGCACGTTGCAGCGGGAGGCGAGGTGGACGTGCAGGAATTGTCCAGCCGTGGCTGAGGAGGCCTTGTCCAGACCCCAGGAGCAGCGAGAACATCTCGTTCTCCCCAGAAATCGCAATCCATCCACCCTTCCTCTGCGTGGGAGCTGAAAGATGCCCCCAAAGCAGGCTGGTTTTGGGAAGGGAACACCTCCAGGCCTCCGGGTGGGGAGGAGGAGGTGTCCCAAAGGCTGGCAGCAGCACCACCTGCCCTGGGTTCTCCTTCCTGCAGCACTGGGATCTGCAAAACCCCAGGAAAAATAACCTGGAAAAAAAAGGAACATCCTGATGATTCCGGGGATCAGCAGGGCAGGAGGAAGCAGGCTGGGAGCTGTCTAAATGAGCTGTTCTTTGGGGAAAATCCTCATCTGCTGGAGCCCCAAAGGCTGCAGGTTTGGGAAGGGTGGGATGTTCACCCTGGGCGCAGCCGAGCACAGATCTCCAGCCCTGGGAGAATCCACGCTGCCAAAATCTCCCCACCAAGGGCAGCTCCCCCTTTCCTCTGCAGGGAATTCCCACCAGCAGGAGGGGAATTTGGGGTCGGGTCTCTCAGTAAATGGGGTTTCAGACACAGAGGAAGGGATTTTTCCCAGCTGTGGGGCAGAGCAGAGGCCCCGGTGGTGCTGCAGGACTCCAGTAGGAGACATCAGAAGGAAATTCCCTGTTTTCTCCTGAGCCCATCACCGGAGGAAACTTCCCAAAAAGCTCGGCCATTTGTAACTTTTCTCTAAAAAGTCTTTTTTTTTTCTGTTTCTCTGTTTCTGCTGCATCTCTTCTGTATTTTTCTTTTTATTCTTGGATCTCTCAGCCTCCTTTGGACTGAATTCTTTTGGGATCCTCCCTGGTGGGGAGCCCTGCTTATCTCAGTTCTTATTATTCAAAGAAAACTCCCGAGCTCGTTAGAATCTTGTTTCTCGTGTTTATTAACAGGTCAACACAGAACTTGACAGGTCTCTCCAGGCTGGCTGCACAAGGTTCATCTTTGCAATCTGGTTTATTTCTTTCTCTTGATGGTACAATCAAAACCTGTGGCACACCTCGTGTCTGATGCACAGAATGGCCCTGAAATACGCAGTTCTTTTATCTTTATACCTATTTTTACCCAATTAACAATAGACACGTATATTATTTTTCTTAGTGACCCAATGACCCATCACCTCTGTGATGCACTGTGGCATTTTCTATCCAATCACTCACTATTACCTAATTACCTATTACCTATTATTACTTTCCACACAGAACTCTGTCCCTGTGGCCTCCTGCACCCCGTGTGGCCGAGGCTTGTGAGAATTTGCTTTATCACAAGGTGATATTTCATCCCTCTTCACACAATGTCCCAAAAGCAGGGGCTGGCAGCAGGGCAGCGTTCCTGAATCCTCAGCTGGGAGAGATTTCCCCCAGCCAGGGGGGCAGGGGCCAGGCTCTGACCTCTGGCTAACGAAAGCAGGATAATTCTTGGCCTGGCACCTGCCTTGGGAGCATGTGAGAGGTAAATCTTTCCTTTCCCTGGCAGCGTTTCCTTCCTCATCTCCCCGATAAAGGCTGCCCCAGGCAGCTCCCCTTGAGCTCCACGTTCCCTGGGTGAGATCCACACTCGAGCCCGAGGGCCAGGAGGGGTTTGGAGTCTTTTCAGTGACACCTTCACCCCGTGTGTCCCTTCCTGGAGCTCCAGGGATGGATTTTTGAGCGCTGTCAAGTGTTCCCTTCACGTGCATCCGCGTTTCTGATGCCACTGGAAGTCTGGTGCTCATCTCAAGTGCTGAGAGCTCCATGGAAATGCCTTTCCAAAAGGAGTCAGGAGGTCAGCCAAGCACCCCAAGGACAGTTGTTCCCAACACAACAGCTACAGACAGCGCTGAGGAGTGAAAGGTCAAAACACCCACTGCAAACTGGAGTGTTGTCACACCCTGGGATGTTTCCACTGGGGGACCTTGTGATATCCCTCCTACCCAGGGTAAAGAAAGCTCTGGAAAGTGTGAAATGGGGATGAGTCCCGTTTACAGTTTGCCATGGAATGGTTGGAAGGGACTCAAAGCCACCCCAGCCATGGCAGGGACAATTTTCCCTGTCCCTGTCTGCTCCAAACCTCGTCCAGCCTGGCCTTGGGCACTGCCAGGGATCCAGGGACGGCCCCAGCTCCTCTGGGAATCTGTTGAAGGAATCAATTCTGTCCCTATATCTAACCAAAATTACCTAATTCAAACCTAAACTTCATAAATACCCCAAAATCTGGCAGCCACAGAAGCAGGCAGAGCCCTCCCAAAGCTTCTGCATCCCCGCCGTGCCCGAGCAGGCAGCGGTGACAGCTCAGGAAACGGATTCCACCGAATCTCACAACAACTGATGGGAGCTGCTCTAATCTC